TGCTGCTGCTGCTGCTGGTGTCAGAGCGTCGGTCAGGTGAGAAGCTGCTCCTCTTTCAGCTCAGTAATAATAATGATGACAGTGTTTCCACTTGCTTTTGTCTCATTCAATCACGTGTGAAGTGGAGGCGACGCTGAACACAGTTTCTATTCGCCGTCACTCTCATTTCTGCAGATTCTCACTCCTCTGTCAGATACTGGAGGTTCAGAGGAGACCAGGGTTTGTGGCTCCACTGTTTGGAAATCAGGACTTTGATCTTTAAACGCCTCCTAATTACTGTCATGGTGGAGACGAATTAAAGCTCAGAGAGAAGAGCAGGAGAACAGAGACACCACAGAAATAATGGAACTGATCAGTGATGTGTTCTGTATTATTTATGGAGACGATCATAACAACATCAATACTAATATTATTTTATTATTTAATAGCTGAAACTGTTCAATTCAGGTTTAATACCACAAGAAAATAATGTTTAAAAAACTGTGAAAAATATGTAACTTTTATGATTTTATTCTTTTTTACTTCACAGATATTTTAAATACACAGAAAAATTAATAAACAAACAAAACTAGACCATGAATTTACACGTCTGTATTTTATTTTATTTCTTGTGTGTTTTATTCCTTATTCTTATTTATCTTATAGTTTCGGGGTGGAACAGGTACACAACGCATTTCACTGCGCGTTATAATGAAATGAAATGAAAAATACTTTATTTATCCCAGAAGGGAAATTCAATTATACCATGTATAACTATGTTTGTGACCAACAAAAGACCTTGAATCCTTGAATCCTAATGCAAAATAACATTAAAAACCTGTTACTGTGAGACATTTTCTTTTTTTCCCTCCCTTAGGTAAAGACTGCTAAACACATTTCCAAACTTTGTTTTAATTTTCCAAATATGTCCTATTTATTGAACAGATTAAACTGTTCAATTCAAGTTTCAGACTCTAACGACTCATATGGAAAACATTGTAAAGATAGATATAGATATATATGTATATATATATATATCTATATCTATCTTTACAGAATTTTTCTGTTTCATTGACCAGATTTTTTTGGGGGGGATTTTTGAAAATGTTAATACAATTACAAAACGATGCTGTGAATTTAAACGTCTGATGTGAAATAACTTTTTTTTTTTTTTTTTTTTTTAAATCTGCAACTGATATTAATCATATGTGTTGTTTGTTTTTTTTTTTTTTATTTTAATTGGTGAGAAAATACTTTTTTGTAGAATTTTCTGTTTTATTTTACAGATTTTCTTCTTCATGTCTTCAAATACATAATAACAATATTAATAATATTACAACACAAGACTGTATTTACACCTCTAATGTATAACAGCATTAAAAAGCTGCGTAGATTTTTCTCATATAAACGTTACTGTACTGCAGTAAACGTGAGATGTGGTCATAATAATATTTATGCTGCAACAATCTGAAAATGCAGGAACCATTCTGAGGAGTATTTCTTAAACTTTAAGCACATTTTCTTTTTATAAATCTGTATTCTTCTAGTCTAGTTTGGCCACTTTTAGTAAAAAACTGACATCACAGGTGAAACTAGAATCTAAATGAGACTTGATTATCAACAGAATACTGTGATCGTTTATTAAAATAAAGGAACAGTTTGGAGGCTTGATGGGTTCATTAACAGGACTTTAAATTATCAGTCAGAGCTGCTTAAAGTTCAGCGGTGTTGGGTATAAGCTGGAGTTCTGTTTTAACACTTTAAAGCTTTTTACATCAAACACACATCAGATGAACTTTGCTTGAGGTCAGAAACAACACTGGGTCATTACAGCAGACATTAGAATGACGACCAAGTGATTTGATCTTAATCTGATCTGTTTTGCAGGATTTTTTCACTGTACTTCTAATTTTACACCAGATTATCATCATTAAAGTCACAGTTGGACACGTGGAAGTGGAATCTTTCTCGAGTGAAGCCTCGTTCTAGGAGATAAAACACATCTACGAGGCGACTAAAAATGAGGCTCCCTGCTGTAAGCGGCCCACAGATACTGAATAAGTGAGTGCTGCTGATGAGTTTCAAGCTTTTGCTGAGAGCCTCATTTAGGAAGGACGACCTGTTGAGCTATTAGAGGGCAGCGCTCGGCTCTTTCTCCTCTCAGGCCATGACTATGAAAAGAAGGCTGCCGCCACAAAGGGTCCGTGTATTCCTTGTCTGGCTCCAATACACAACGAGAGCAGCTCCAACATTAAAAGGACACCGAGGTGCAGAGTTTAATTCACAATATGATAGAAAAAAAAAAGTGTTGAATCGTGTCAGTGGAGGTCAGATGAGCAGCCAGAGACTGAACTGGACATTTATTATGAAATATAGGGATTCAACTGAGGTTTATTGTCATTATTGAGTCATTTTTTTGCTTCTAAAATGTCTAAAATGTGTGAAAAAAATCCATCAGTAGTTTCCAGAGCTCAGTGTGATGCTTTAAAAGACTTCAGACTGACCTAAAGATATTCAGTTTACAGCTACTGTCCATTATTCTGTTAAAAAATGTGAAAATACCCACAAATATCTGTAAAATAATGATGTTCAGAGTGGATTTAAATACAGGAAAAATTTACTTTTATGGTCACAGAATGTAAAAGAATGATTTTCAGTTTTGGCCTGTTTTTAATTTATTTATCTTTTAACAGACAGGATAGAAATTCAGATTTTTTTTCTCTGATTTTAATTGACATTACCTGCAATTTGCTAAAACATGGAAAATCTGGTTATCTACAGGTTTTTCAATCCTTAATATACATGTTTTTCTCTTTAAATAATGACAAAAATGTGTTTTTTTCTAATTTAAATGCAGCAAAACTGTCATTTCTTTGGTCAAATGTGGTAAAACAACGAATTACTGTTTATAAAGATTCAAAATTTACAGTTTTGGCCGGTTTTATTGTTTTTTTTCTCTCTTTTAAAATGTAAATGAATACCTCTATTCCTTAGATATTATTTTTAATTTAACCAAATAGGGTAAATCTGAAGGATAACAGTAAATTGTATGGGTTTATTACAATGTCCATCTTTTACACTGTGGCTTTTAAAACTGCTGTAGATTTTTCTTGTCCTCAGAAAAGTGGACAACTCCACCAGTCTCACTTGTTTGGACAAAACTTCTTTCCATCCACATATGAAACCAAACTTAATCGATTCTTTTTGAGGCTCATTTAACCCAGAAACATCTCACATTTGTCATCCAGCTGAAACGTTTCCAGTTTCGTGGCTCAACGTGAATTAACAGGACTTCTCGGGACAGATCTTGTCCACAGACGCTGGGGTGGGTGGTCCGGTGGCGCAGGCATCACAAGAAAAGCCTCGTCATTGTTCGGGCGCAGTCGAGAAAGTCTGTGTTTGCGCTCTTCATTAGACATTCTAGTGTCAGAGAAGGAGGATAAATAAAACGCGCCGAGGTCAAAGGGAACGCGCGGTTCGCTTCGGTGTTTAAATGTGTTTTAACAGTTACTTAAGGCTCTGGAGACGCTCTCTGCCACTTCCAAATGATGGAAATGAGCCCGGAGAGTTTGCAGAGCTGGCAATAATCCCAGTTGAAAGGGAGGATGTCGTTGTCTTCGGCCGGTGTAAGAAAGCGAATCACCCCCTTAAAAGAAGCCGCGCAAACATCTGAGGAAGCATTGCTTTCTGTGCAAACTGAATTGCAGCAGCCTCCCAGTTTGTGTGCGTCCAAAAGCATTTTTAGACGATAAATAAACTCAGATTTAAGACTTCAGAGCAACTTTTAGGACTCGATAAAGCCTCCATAGATCAACCTGTGGATTAAGTGATTGAGATTAGCAGGAGTTGCAGGTTTGTCCCCAATTAAAAAGAAAGGAGAAACCCAGCAGCACCACTCTGTCACCACACCCAGGCCGCTGAATTTGACGCCTCAATTACGCAGAGCAGTTATTCAATTTTAAGAGCGACACGGCTGCTGCTAAAAGGCACACTTTGGGAAATGGAGCCCGTTGGTTTTATACAGGAAAAGAGATTAACGGACTGTTTGCATACAGGAGTGATTCTTGATTTACAACTGCTTCAGACACACACATCCAAGGTTTGAAAGTTTCTGAATGTGACGGTTTGGATAGAGGCGCGTAAAAGTGAAGGAACAAAACAGAGGAGAATAAAGGAACAGTACATTCTCTGTAAATTGCGCAGCTTAAAGCCGGTCTCCAATTGTGAAGTGACTTGTTACGCTGCTTAAAGCATCTGTCCACCAGCCAGGACTTAAAAGGCTCCAAATAAGATGATTTAGTAACATCAAGGCTTTCCCAGCGGTAATGATTACATTTGGACTTAAGATCCATGCAAGAATTTGTAGCCCAGTAAATCTCCTCAGTTCCCTGCCCCCCAAGACCTCTTCAAAAGCCTTGTCATTCAAAGGGTTAGGATGTTTGACAATCCCAGCTTGTACTACTCCACCAATTAATTGGATACGTTGTCGGGATGTTCGTCTCTCTCATCTGCTACTTAGAAAGACAAAGGATCGATGGGGGGTTGTTGACACCTCGGTGCGCGCCTCGACTATAAATCAGGCCCCTGCGCAGAGGAGCAGCACTCATCCACCGGCTGCACTTGGAGCAACAACTTATTTCCAGCGAAGACCATCGAGATTTTCACTTTGAACATCTGTCAGAATGCAGGTGCCCAACAGACCAACTTTTGGATACTCCGTGCGTAATTACGCACCGGCATCGCTGCACCCGCAGTACCAGGGAGGCCAATGCGCGTCCACAACGAAGCCTGCCAGTGTGAAATCTTTCACTATTGAGGCTTTGCTCGCTAAACCGGAGGACACAGCCAGCGACAGGACGAGCCCGACTCAGTGCGGAGTGAAATACCAACCGGCAGCCCCGGTTCTGCCGCTCACCGGACACGCAGGGTTACCGATGGCACCGTATGTCTACTCTCCCAACATGCTGCACTCCGCGATCCACACGCAGCCTGGATATTCTGTCTACTGCTGCCCGCCTTTCTCCTACCAGGCATCGTGTCGCGGCGCATTTTACGCACAAGGTACATTGAGAAACAGAACGATGCCAACTTTTAAAAGAACAGAAACCATATTGACGCAGCAGTGTGATTAAACGTGTCACCTCTCTTCTTTGTAGCTTCGATGTCCAAAGTCAACGCAGGGCTGCACTCGTTCAAAACCAAAGGAGGGAAGTCGAAACGGATGCGCACCAGCTTCACCAGCGAGCAGCTGTCCCGCCTGGAGAAGGAGTTCGCCCGGCAGCAGTACATGGTGGGATCGGAGAGGTTCCTGCTGGCCTCCGCTCTGCAGCTCACAGAAGCTCAAGTAAGAAACCATCACGGAAGAAAAGAAATTCTTTGAAGTGAATCCTGAACTCCTTTAACCTCATAAATATGCTACAAACATCCTAACGTGAGTCTGTTTTTGCTTTCTCCAGGTCAAAGTCTGGTTCCAAAACCGACGCATCAAGTGGCGCAAGCAGAGTCTGGAGCAGCAACAGGCCAAACTGGCCAAACTGGGCCTGGCTGCTCCGCCAAAAAGCCCCGGATCTCAGGGCCACGGGGATGAAGGCGACGAGGATGAGGAGTTCTCCGACTCAGACGTGGACATCGACGTGTCCGATGACTCCACTGACCACTGCTAACCAGAACTCTGGACCTGAGGAAACACAGACTGTTGTACATACACCGCTGAGAACGGAGGCTCCCGTCTCCTACTATGAATATTTAATAGATCTATAGCTATATATTTAATTTTCTACCGTTATCGCTCTTTGATGAGTTCACTTCATGTGCTGCTTTTGTACATTTGAATGAATTTTTCAGAAATATATTTTATGACATTAATGGAACCTTTGTCCTGTTCTTTCCTTTTACATTCAGCCCAGTGTTGCAGTGACTTTAGAGGTTCAGGAGACATCAGGAGGATTAGAACTGACATGAATCATTTGCACATCAATCAGCTTTCAGATGAGGTTCTAGTAACACACATTTAAATGAACAGTTCTGATGTTTTACTGAGTCTTTTCTTCGAGGGTTTCAATGTTGGGCTCAGGTGGAAACACGTGACATTTTGCACTACTGTCCACCAATCAGGGTTTTGAAAAATTTGAATCAAAATCTTACACAAGTTTGGGGTTTATTTTACCATTCAGCTCTAATGAGGCTGATTAGTTTGGCTTTTGAGCCTTAAACTCTTTTAAAATTACACATAGAGAGGATTTATCTCAAACTTCAGTTTCAATTCTACCGATTTATTTAAAGGTAAATCTTCAGGACTTAAAAACATTATTAGGGGCTATTTACGAATAAATAAATAATAATAATGATAACAATCAGATAACACACATGATTAAATGTTTGTACAAACCCTGGACATGGTAAAAATTTATTTTTTTTAATTGTATCACTTCAACAATTTAGTTTTTTTTTTAAATTAAAATTACATTGCAGATAACATCTACCATAATTTTTTTTTTAAATTACATTTAATGTTGACTATTATAATAATAAACAGGCCAAAACTGTACATAATGTCAAAAATATGTTAATTTTTCTTGAACAATACTGTAACATTTAAAATTACAATTTTTACTGTATTAAAATTTGCAAAAAATATATATTATTTTACAGATATTTGCCGTTATTTTCACTGTTTTTGTAGCTTTTGAACACCACAGTATTCCACCATTCTAACATATTTTTCTGGTGCTTTTGCTCCAAGATTTTTACTTTTGTTTATTTTTTAACAGATTAGTTTTTACAGTGCAGTTAACTTCTAATGGCTTGGATTGAAATCTAACTTCCAATGTCTTTTTTGTTTGCTCAGCAGCAACATTTTTAGCCACAGATAGACGTGATTTTCTTTCCCACTCTGTAGATTCTCAGCCATCCACAGCAACCTGAAGCACTTTAGCTGAAGCCAACTGAATTAGTTCTGAGACATCTCCACCTCTTATCCGAGTGTTTTATCCACTTCAGAACTGTGAAACATCTTCCAGAACCTAAACAAGTGCAGCTGCCTCCTGCTGCAGCCTGATGCTGGATGTATTTGTCTTTTCAGCTGCCTGAACAGAGGAAACCGAACTCACAGCTGAAACGTCTCCAACCTTAATTAAACCCACAATGACAGCAGATATGAGCTAATGCTGTTATTTTATGACCTTTAGTTTTCTGCAAAAGAGAGTAAAACCTCTGTAAAGCATCCCATCGTGGCTGCGGCCTCCTGACCTTTGTGTATTGTTCCTCTGTGCTCAGCCTGAAGACGATGGAGACGTTTCCTCCCGGGTTTGATCCAACGTAAAGTCTTCGGTTCCCCTCTGATTTAAGCTGAGCAAATAAATAAGCAGCTCGGGGATTAGCTGGGATATCTGTAACCCGGGGTGGTAGGGGTCAATCTGTCTCAGGGCCGCAGAGCCGGGGTCTCACTGTTTAATCTGTTTAAATGGTCAATACGCCTGTTCTCACTGCCTCTCCGCGGACGGGGCTCCGTCGTTCCCTCCCACCGCCGGCAGGTGTCCGGCCTCGGGCCCATTGAAGCTCCACGTCGCTCCTTCCAGGCGTGAAGGGACTCACGCTGGCCGCCGAAGCCCGGCTGGCAGACATGAGGGATGAAACAGCAGACAAGGCTGGGATGTGTGGGTCCATCAGAGCAGCTCAGCGAGGTGGTCAACCTGAAACAGATAGCTCGGTCATATTAAACACAGACGCTTCCATCTAGTTAATCCTCCACATATGTGACAATGCAACTGTTATTATAAAGGTTTTGTCACTTTAAACCTCCATCAAACTACCTTTCTTGAACACAAGAGCTGATATTTAACAGATAATTACTGACAGGATACCTGCTCTCTGTGACTAAAGATGCTGCTGCAGCAAAAAAAAAAAGAGCTAAAAATGACATTTAGACGTATTTAGCCTGGTGTTCATTCTCCTTTGATCATCTAAATTAAATTAAATTAAACTAAAATCCAACAAAAAAAAAGTAAAAATCTGTAAGAAAAAAAATAAACAAAGTAAAAAATAAAATTATGCAATGTTCAAAAACTGTAAAAAATTGAATATAAAAGCAAATATCTATGAAATAATTATATTTTAGTCAATTTCAATACAATAAGGTGTCATTTTACAGCCACACATAAGAAAAGAACTAATTACTGTCTGTAAAAGCAGTCAGGGTTTTTTTTGTTGTTGTTTTTTACAGTTAACTTGTGAAATAATTACTTTTTTCTAGATATTATTTGCAATTTAACAAAGCAGGGCATTCAAAAAAAAAATCCTATTTTTTAATGCTTTATATGAACATTTGTTTGTGTCAAATAACAGCACCTGTCTGTAAAATAATTATATATATTTTTTTACTTTCTAAAAATACAATAAAATGGTAAAAAAAAAATTTAAATTAAACAAAAATGGTTATTCCTACTGTTTTGTCATTTTACTGATTTTCTGTGTTTTGTCTAATTACAGATAATAAGTACTAAAGGCACAGAAAAAATATTAATTTACATGCTGACTTTAAAAAAAAAAAAAAAAGGCAAAAACTATGTCGCCAACACACTGCTGCAACCTTTGCTGCCATTTTTTGTCCCAGTTTATTTACAGGAGACTGTTTTTTGTTACTTTTTTGCAGCGTTTAGTCAACAGAAAGTATTTTTGATCACTCAGATGATGGAACCGCTGGACTATGATGTCCAACGATTGCTTCCACTAATTCAACTGATTATTGTCTCAACTGTCTGATCAATGAAACGTGAATGAAAAACAACTTTACTGTCTTGTGTCATACATAAACATGGAGTTCTTGTCATTTAGAAGTTGGAACATGATGATATTTTTGCACATTTGCTGGAAAAGAGACAGAAACTGATCCAAACAGTTGCTGATTATTGACTAGTTGACTTGTTTTTGCAGATCTGTGGTGCAGGACTCCTACAAACATCCATCGATCTGCTCCACTGTCTGTTGTTTCACTGCATGCTTGAGGTAATTACTGAAATGCAAACTGAAGAACACAAAGTTCTTTCTGATGTTGTTGATGTATTTTGGAGCATTTGTAGGCTGGTTCTGTTTTCCTTCTTTCACTCCTGACATATTTACCTCCACAAACTGTAGTAAAAACCCCAGAAAGCTGCAGGTTGGTGCATCAGAGGAGCTGTGAGAAGCCAGCTGGTATCAAAGCGAGGAGTTTAATGAGCGGTAACAGAGCTGATCTCTCTCCCTCGTCTCCTGTCCGACACCCCCTGCCTCCTGCCCGGCCCGATTACAGCCCGAGCGCCGCTGAAGGAGCAGAATTTGTGATGTGAATCTGAGCTTTTCTTCCCCCACCACCACCATCTCCTCCACCTCCTCCTCCTCTGCTCTCTCCACAGTAATCCCATTGAGGGGCAGAAAGAAGCAGCCGGAGTCCTGGGAAAGAGGGGAGCCGGGGGTCGCCGGACTCCTCGTCTCAATTAGCAGAGGGCACCTCAACGGCTGGAAACATGCCGACGCTGGACGGCTTTCTTAAGACTCTCCGCAGGACTGGAGCTGAAGCTTCTTATCAAAGCGACGTCTCCATTTGTCTCCCCACTTGTTGCTCTCATAAGGTTTACATCTGAGCACGTTAGACGATTGGTCTCGCCGGCAGACGCAGTGGGGATGTTTTTTTTAAAAGTGAACTCACAATATTGTGTCTTTGCTCTCCGGAGCTGAAACAACTCGTCAATTAGTCTCAGATTAATCAGCAACTGTTCTGATGATGACACAGTTAAGGGAGAAGACAAAGCCGTGCTGGTCTCAGGCTCTCAAGCGTGGAGGTTTCTTTAAACGACAGTCATTTAAAGTGGAATTAGGATTAATAGAAAAGCAACAGCAGGAGAAACTTCATTCTTCACAATTTCCTGAGTCAGACTAATAAAGAGAATCTTTGGTTGGATCACGTCTATTTTAGGTTCAAGTGTTTTAAACTGCAAATGTGGCCACACTGTGAAAAATTAACCCTCTGCAGCAGGTTTTTCTAACTTTTTGGAACAAGTTATGGTTATTTTTTCAGTTTTATATTGTTTTATTTTCCCTGTTTTGCTAAATTACAGATTACAACTAGAAGAATCACAAAAAGCAAGAATTCATTAACATGGAAACTATTACAAAAAGGCCAAAATTGTAAATAGTGTCCACATTAAACTCTGTATTTCATCAGAGTTAATTCATTCATTTGCAGTGTTTGATGATAATATCGCACTAGATTTACTGCATTTAAATCAGCAGGTTATTGTTAGTTTATTACAGAAATGCACCATTATGTTCAAGAAAACATACAGAAAAATGGAAAATAAGATTTGAACTGTTATTTTACAGATTTACCCTGTTTTGTTAAATTACAGTTAACTGGTAAAAAAAAATAATTTTTAAAAAATTTATGAAAATATTTTAATTTTGACAAAAACTAAATTGGTACAAATGGACTAATTCTTTTTTTTTTTTTTTTTTTACAATGTGTGACCATAAGATTACACTGTTTTACTGTATTTAAATTATCTAAAAATATCATTATTTTACAGACATTTTTTTTTCGTTTTTTAAACGTCACAGTATTCTGACATTTTTTAACAGATTTTTCCTGAAATCTTGATTTAAATCCAGTAAAAATATTGTAATTTTATGG